GTGCCAAGTACGTGCAGATGCTCTCACCCTCACTATTAGGAAACTCTGTAATGAGAGAAGGAAACACAACATGGAAGCACCTACATCCTCAAACGACACTTGACATGCTGAGACGTGCAGGCACGCAGGCACACGCACGCACGCACGCACGCACGCACGCACGCACACACAAACAAACACACACACACACAGGCACACGCACGCACACACACACACACGCACGCACACACGCACGCACACACGCACGCACACATGCACGCAGGCACACGCACGCACGCACGCACGCACACAGGCACACACGCATGCAGGTACACATGCACGCATGCACACACACACGCACGCAAGCAGACACGCACACACGCACGCAAGCAGACACGCACACACGTACGCAGGCAGACACGCACACACGCACGCACGCACACACGTACGCAGCCACGCACGCACACACGTACGCAGCCAGACACACACGCACACAGACGCACACGCACACAGCCAAGCACGCATGCAGCCACGCACACAGCCAAGCACGCATGCAGACGCACACGCACGCACCTACTCACGCACGCACACACGCACTCAGCACAAAAGCAACACACATGATGAATGGACACACGTATGCACACACTCACACACTCACACACTTACACGCAGCGCCCCAATCTAAATAAATCACCAGTTGGGTGTTGACACTAATTCAGCAATGAGAATTAAAACGAGAACACGGACGGAGAGCTTAACTGCCCCCTCCCTCTCTTCCCCCTACCCCCCCCACCCGTCCTGCAGCATCACTCACCCAAGCACAGGTCGTGCGGCGCTGGCACGTTTGTGACAAAGTGGAAAAAGATGGCGGCACATCTGAGGAAGGGCAGCGTCGCCGACCGCACCATCTGCAGCAGACGCGGCGGCGTGATTTTTACATCTCGCTCCAGCCTGCAAAACACAAGAGCAGCCGTCACTCAAACACACGACCCTGCAGCTGCGACGATTTTAGACACTTTTCCTAATTCCATTTCAAATGCCTTACCTAGACTGTGTCCAAGTTGTCCCCACACACGCTCGCACGCATGCACGCAGGCACACACACATACACAGACACACACCTGAGACTGCGTAGACAGGTATGCAACGACACATATAATATAGCGTTTGATTGATACAAGGCTTTTAATAAGCACGCCTGGTTATAATAAATAATCAGTCAATTTTGATCAACTTAAACAGCACTTATATAAGCATGGCTACTGAAGCAGACACAGAGACACGATTAAAGATATACACACGAACGCACCCTGCGCACTTATACATGAAGCTCAGTAACTGTGCAAGGCTCTTCCCCTCCTCCCTGTCCTCCTTCGATATGACCTCTTCCACCTCCATCTCTTCTGCAACACGTGGCAGAAATAGTACGTTAGATATAAAACACAGAATGTAGTTACAACTCTTAGCTCACTGTTACTTAGAATGATTAAGAAACAACAAAGAGGAAACATTAAAAAACAACAAGTTTAGTTTATTATTCTATATTAGTTGATAACACGTTTTAGAAATTTAGTTTTCAATTTTGAAGTTCCAAGCATAATTTAGCATTAATGTGGATACGTGATTATTACCAGACATATTACCAATGATTTTTTCACATCGACACCGATCGTGAATTAAACCACGCGCTTTGCACACCTTCATCGTTTGTTTCTGCTGTAAGAAGAATCTGTACAACATGCGCGATGTATATCAGCTGCAGAAGGTTCCTCTCGTTTTCACCACCAGAGGGCACCAGCTTGATAGACATCTGCTTGCCATTCTCTGCGTAGAGAGCCGGTAGCAGAAACACGGCACTCACCTGACCCATACACAAACAGCATGGTGAGCTCACAGACTTCTTTATAGAAACTCAGCAAACAAGTCGAATACGAAAGATCAACTGGAATGCTAATAACGGAAACGGTGGAAACAAAGACAACACATCCCAACGATAAAAATGACAAGGAAAACAATAACGACATTCGACAATGGCAATGTCAACAACAACGATGCAACAATAACACCTACAACACCACTAAAAACAAAAACATGAACAAAAACAAAAAGCAACAGCGACGACAACAATAACAACAACAACGACAGCAACAACACTGACAACAACAACAACAACAACAACAACAACACCAACAACAACAACAACAACAACGACAGCAACAACATCAACAAAAAACAAAAGCAATGATGTCAACTACAACAACAACGACGACAACAACAACGACAGCAACAACAACAACAACAACAACAACAACAACAAGAATCGCTGCTCACCAGGTAGGAGAACAGATCGGTGCTGAGGATGCAGGGTGCCTCGTCGCTGTGCTCTCCGCCGATGAGCGAGGAGAGCAGGTGCACACAGTGGCTCTTCAGCACCTCGACGCTGCACACGTAGCTGACGACGGCCGCCGAGCGCACGAGCGCGTTCAGACAGTCGAGGTTACGCGACGAGAACGTGCCGAACAGCGGCTTGCCTTCATCCCTGAGGTACCACTCTACAGCAGAGAGAAAGAGAGAGAGAGAGAGAGAGCAGAGAGTGAGTGAGAGGTACCACTCTACTACTAGCATAGTAGAAGAGAAGAGAGGAAAGTAGAGAGACAGAGGAGAGATGAAGGAGTGAGAAAGTAAACAATACTCTACAGAACAGAGAGACGAAGAGGGAAGAAGAGAGAGAGAGAATGAGAAGAAGAGAGATAAGAAGAAACGAGAAGTGGAGAGACAGTTGGAGAGAGAGTTGAGTAGGTAACCTACCCTACAGAAAAGAGAGAGATAGAGAGAGAGAGGATAGAGAGCAGAGAGAGAGAGAGAGAGATAGAGAGAGAGAGAGAGAGATAAGTGAGAGGTACCACTCTAACAGAAGAGAGAAAGAGAGAAGAGAGAGAGAGAAAGAAAAGTGCGAGAGGAGAGATGCCGAAGAGACAGAAGAGAGGTAACCACTCTACAGCAGAGAGAGAGAGAGAGAGAAAGAGAGAGTGAGAGGTACGACTCTACAGAAGAGAGAGAGAGAGAGAGCGAGAGAAAAAAAAAGAGAAAGAGAGAAGAGAGGCGAGGAGGGAGCGAGGAGATAGCGTGAAGAGAGAGAGAGAGAAGAGAGAAGAGAGAGAGAGAGAGAGAGAGAGAGCAGAGAGAGAGAAGAGAGAGAGAGAGAGAGAGCAGAGAGATAGAGAGAGCAGAGAGAGATAGAGAGAGAGAGAGTGAGAGATGTGTATGATGAAACTTTTAGATCATGTAACAGAGTGATAAGCATATTGTTTTATAACTGTACATGTAACCATATCTGTAGCTATATATATCTGCCACCTATACCTGTACTACAGGTATAGTAGGCTGTAGCAATACCTATAACAATATCTACACCTGTAGCTTTGCACATACATATATATATATATATACACACGTATATACATATATATATACACATATATATTGCCGTGTTAGGGGAAGGTAGGGTCACCTATGGCGTGGATGGTGAAGGCGCAGCTGTTCCATGTCATGACAGGCATGCGCGGGTTCTCGCGGTGCGGCAACGCGTCCAATCCGATCGTGTACGCCGACTGCGAGAACGTGTATATCATGTCGACGACGCTCTCGCACAGCTCCCCGCTCGGCGTCGAGCTGCGACAGACAAGAGAGCATCCGTCAGCGTCCATTAAAGCAATTGTTCACGTTATTTTCATGATTCGATTTTTCACGATGACCTTCAGTTTTTTTGGGTCAAAACTATCATATTGAGCGATTTCGCCAAAAAACGACAGCGCCGAAAATTCACAATCGGGTTCATTTTTCCCAGAAAATCAGGCACTGGACACAATTTCTCCAGATCAAACCATGATATGCTTGGATACACCAGGCACAGCCACGATGTTCCGCGGCGTTCACGGGCCATTTGCTCACCTGATATCACAGACGTAGTTGAACAGCTGCTGAAAGTTGGCAGCGACATTCTCCTTCAGCAGCCGGCAGATTGCCACCAGCGACTCCGGCACCAGCAGTGTCAGCTCCTCCTCGGACGTGCAGGCGGCAGTCTCGGCATTCTGCCGCACGCTTTTGCTAGAGGTGACCGTCTTCTCCAACCCGTCGAGCCAGTCGGCTAGCGGCAGCTCAACCTGCTGACTTCTGCTGAGAGAAAGAGCGAGACAGACGCGCATGCACTGTTAGATGTAAACCCGCACCCACGTTTGAAGATTCTGGGGTGCATTGTCAGAACAAAATTAGTCCTAGCAATGCATTAACTTTTTCTTGAACAGCAACAAGCATCGTAAAGTTCCCAGAAACGAAAAATCTTACCAAATTTCTTCATAGCCTTACGAAACAAAATTCTGTAAACAGTCTACGTGACAAAGTTAATCTTAAGACTAGTGCCAAGACTAATTTTGTTACTGGCAACAGGCCTCTGGCATTTACCGTATATACTCGCGTAATAACTGCAAATTTGGCCTCAGATTTCAACCCTGTATTTGCTCTGCGGTTTATAAGTGCGCCATACCGTGAGGGGAAATATACTAGGCGCAATACTTGGTTACCCGATTCAAATTAAGGTGCGGCTTATAGGCGCCCGCGGTTATTACGCGATCATATACGGTACTAGTACTGAAAGTGTCTGAGACTGAGAGCACCTGGAAGCCAGCCCACGTCCCTTCAAGTCCACGCAGCACAACAAATGCTGACAACACCGTTCAACGGCAGCTGCCGTATATTTGCCAAACCATCAACGGTATAGCACTACTCATCCACGATCACAATTTCTAACAAGAAACAGTTCTCCACTCTACATATATATATACATGTCGATGCCGCGACAGCTAGCCTCGAGGCGCACGTACCTGGATGCGGCGAGCGAGGGCAGCGACGGCAGCAGCGGCAGCACCGTGTTGCTGAGATTCTCGCACAGCGGACATAGAAACTCGTTCTTGTCGATGTCGAAGCTGAGGTGATGTCGCAGGCGGATCGGCCGCCGCCTCTCCTTCGCCAGCACCGACTCAAAGAACCTGCGGCGGACGGACGCACACACAGTGATTACAGCAATCGATGCACAAGTCAGCATAGAACTTCGTCGTCGTGCGTGATGCGCACGGCTAGTACTTACTTTCGCCAACGGGTGGTGTGCACGACGTGTGGTTAGTTCGTACTTTTGCCAGCAGTCGGCGTGCACAATGCATGCATGGTTAGTACATACTTTTGCCAACAGGTGGTGTGCATTACGCACGCGACTGGTGGCGTGCATGAAATGTGCGATTAATTTGAATTTTTCCCAGCAGATGGCGGGCATGACATGTGATCAATATGTATTCTCCCCAGCAGGTGGCACGCATGAGATGTGCGATTAATACGTATTCTCCCCAGCAGGTGGCGCGCACATGTGCGACAAGTACGTACTTCTGCCAGCAGTCGGCGTGCATGATGTGGCCGCACGTCGCCGTGTGCGTCCCGCTGAACAGGTCCGACGAGACAAACAGCACGTCCGTGTCCTCGACGTCTTCCGGAAGCTTCTGTCGTGACTTCGACATCACTGTCGACCTGCGGGAGCGAAGATTCGACGTGGCGAGACGTGGCGGCTCACGCAAACACGCGCACAGGACTTTCTGTTGGTCAGCGGACCCGTCACGGGTAAGCGCGTCGTATGCATGCACTCAGAGCAGCATGTTTTACGAGAGGCCCGTTGCCAGTAGCTGCATCGTAACTAGATATGCCATCGTGTGACAAAAATGTCATAACGTCCGAATGTGAAACGTCATGCAAACGTCATTTTTTTAAAGTACGCGACAGTAAACTATCTACCGTGATTCTGGCATGACGGTAACCTCGGCGCTAGGGTAAACAACTACGCCGTCTATCGATTCGGTGTCGGACGACGGCCACCAGGTGGCGCTGCGTACCTCTGCACGAAGGCGGCGAGCACCATCGCTGGTCCGTCGAGCCTGATCTCAGTCGTCTCCTGACACAGGATGCACATCTCCTGGCCGACGTCGTTGTCGTCGGCTGCGGTGCGCGCCGCTCCCAGCGCTACCGGGTTCTCCTCCTCCTCCATCGAGTGATCGCTGTCACGTAAATCAGTAAACGGTTGTTTAGAAGAGGAGGAAGACGAGGCGTCCCTGAAACGAGAGCAAGCCAGCGAGGATGCAAGCGGCGGCCATGCAGCAGCAGCAGCAGTAACCGTGGCTGCAGCAGCAGTGTCAGCAGTAGCATCAGGAGTATCAGCAGCAGCAGCAGCAGTAACCGTGGTCGCAGCAGCAGTGTCAGCAGTAGCATAGCAGTATCAGCAGCAGCAGCAGCAGTAACCGTGGCTGCAGCAGCAGTGTCAGCAGTACATCAGGAGCTATCAGCAGCAGCAGCAGCAGCAGTTAACGATGGTCGGCTAGCAGCAGTGTCAGCAGTAGCATCAAGGAGTAAGGAGAGATACAGCTGAGCAGCAATGTCAGCAGAAGCTCAGAGTATAGCAGCAGCCAGAGTAAAGTGTCGCAGCGAGCAGTGTCCAGGAGTTTAGCATAGTCAGTATCAGCAGCAGCAGCAGTGTCAAGGCAGTAGCATATCAGTATCAGCAGCAGCAGCAGCAGCAAACGCAGCAGCAGTGTCAGCAACAGCCAGTATCAGCAGCAGCGCAGTGTCAGCAAGTAGCAATAGGCAGCAGACAAGCAGCAGGCAAGTGTCAACAGCAGCAGTACAGCACGTAAGCAGCAGCAGCAGCAGCAGTGTCAGCACAGCAGTAGCAGCAGCAGCAGCAGCAGGCATGCAGCAGGCAGCCAGATGTCAGCAGGCAGCAGTATCAGGCAGTAGGCAGCAGCAGCAGCAGCAGCATAACCGCATCAGCAGTGTCCAGCAGCACAGTATCAGCAGCCAGCATTTGTGTGGTGTGCGAAGCAGTAGCAATAGCACAGCAGTAGCATGCAGCGCAGTAAGCGAGCAGCAGCAAACAGCAAGCAGCAGTGTCAGCAGCCAGCGAGTACTCAGCAAGCAGCATGTCAGCAGTAGAAATAGCAGCAGCAGTAGCAGTAGCAGCAGCGAGCAGCAGTAGCATTAGCAGCAGTATGACGCAGCAGTGTCAGCAGTACAGTCAGCAAGGTAAAAGAAAAGAAACACGAAGAGCAAAATAACAGGCTTAACGCTACACATGCTTGATCACGTAGGCCATGCATGCAGCATGTACACTGATATAACATGTCATCACGTTTTCAAAATGCGGCACACCTATGTGAAACAGTTGGTCTGGCAACGTGTTGACGCCAAGTAGCAAGCACGAGCTTATAAAACATGGAGTAGCACTGAACTAGCCAAAAATGGCAGCAGAACAGATGGCTGTAGATGATATTACACGCTCTAGTATCAGTAGACTAGACACTTTCGTTTCTTCGATCTGGCACGTTTAAGTAACGTGTATTGAAAAGCTATAATACCTTACATCTACATATTTTTGCAATGAGCCCTTTGGTGTTATATGGGCCACACATATATATTCCGACCTTCTGATGAGTAGCTAATGTCCTACCCTATCTTCTGATGTCAGCTATTGTCCTACTCTACTTCTGTGTCAGCTATGTCTATCATCTACTTCTGATGTCAGCTATGTCCTATCTCTCCGGCTTCTGATGTGTCGGCTATGTCCTACTCTACCTTCTGATGCTCAGCTATGTCTCACTCTACCATTCTGATGTCAGCTATGTTCCTACTCTACAAGCTTCTGATGTCGGCTATGTCTACATCTACCTTCTGATGTCCAGCTATGTCCTACTCTGACCTCTGATGTCAGCTATGTTCCTACTCACCTTCTGATGTCAGCTATGTCCTACTCTACCTTCCTGATGTCAGCTATGTCCTACTCACCTATGCGCTATGTCGCTTATCGATGTCTGCTATGTCTCTCCTACTCTGATGTCATATGCTCTCTTCTGATGTCCAGCTATGTCCCTACTCTACTCTGATGTCGGCTAATGTCCTACTCTAACCTTCTGATGTCAGCTATGTCCT